AGAACTGCAGTTAAACATGGCCTATTAATAAAAAAAAAGGCTATTTCCCTTAATTAATAATGTGTCAGCTTATGCCTTTGTCTATTTTAAATTGGAAAATACAACAAAACATAAAATAATGATATTAATTTCCGCTTTACAAACTCAAAGTCAATAGAAAAGTTTATGCATTTTATCATCCTTCACCCGTATTGCATTTCTAATCAAAATAGTAAATTCTAAGTGTAATTTTGAAAATCAAAAATTCAAATATATGCTAATTTTATGTCACTCATGCGCCATGTAACACGTTTCAATAATGGAAACTTTTTGCGCTTTAGCAATTTATATATGTAAGCGTTACATACTTATATATTATAGAATAAAAAGCTGAATTTGATTCGAAGAATTTTTGTTTTAGTTATGAAAAATCCGCAAGCAACCTACGAAATTATTTCCATTTACAATGGTGGCAAATAAAAGAAATGAAATCAATCGCATAAATTTTGATTTCGTTTTTTCAATATCTGCATATCCTTATTTGCATATATTGCCTTCAATAATTTAAAAGCATCCTTCTTCTCTTGTTAAGAATATTTAAGAAATGTTATTGTTTTTTTCAATATTTTTTATAAAATAAAAAACTGAAACACATTTTTATATTGACACAAAAATAAATATTTTTTTTATAACAAATTTTTCTTAAATAAATAATTTTCTGCTTGAAAAATAATAAAAATGTTTACTTTAATTCTTCCGATAATGATAATCTACATTCTAAGATTGAAGGTTTGTCTAATTTCACGCTAAAGTTAACGTCCGTGTAAAGGTCTTTTATTGAAATATAAAGAGTAATTACCAAAAATCATTCCAAATTCAAAAAGACATGAAACTATAGAAAATAATCAAAACTAAATTACTTCAAATGACACCAACTGCGATGGTTACTAACAAACGGAATCCAAACTATATGTACTTTAAAAAATATTCACTGGCGTTTAAAAAAAAATTAAATATCGTTTCAAAATATTTCTTTTAGTTATAGAATAGGAAAGAATAAGAAAAGATGCAAAAATTTAAGTCTGCAGTATTTAGTAACTATGCAGTAGTTTATAGCTGTAACCTAATAAGTATTTTTAAGTATATATTCCTAACTAAGTTTGCTATAAATATACATGCATATGTATTATTAGAATCAACTTTTATAGATATGAGTACAGATTTTCTGATGTGGTAAATCTAATGAAAGTGCAGTTGCACTGAGTAATTGTATACCAACGCATCTCTCTATGAAACTAAATTTATAAATAATTTTCTTGGAAACACTGTTAACTAACGTTTAATAGTTTCAATTTTTACTTTTTTCTTTTCATATTCTACGCCCTTCCATAAATAAATTCGCAGTCATCCGAATCGTCGAGCCTCGGTACGTGTCAGTACCTCACAACCACAGCTAGGATACAACACAAATGGCAACAGCAGTAACGCATCCAGTTGTGGCAGCGGTAGCAATTCTCGTTCATCACTACGCCAAAATATTGCAACTGTAAGTGGTAGTACCGCCAATGTCAGTGCCACTGGCAGTGGAAATGGCAATCATTTACTTCAGCAAAAATATCAAAGCACTTGCGAACAAGGCACACAAACGCCCGCATCCATAAGTCGAGAGACACGGCGACATAAATTGAAATCATTCAAGTTTCCTTTTAATAGTGTCCCAACGCCAGCACTGAATTTGCGGTAAGTTCGAAATTGCGTTGTAAGTGCACCGTGTTTGTTAGTTAGTATGTCGAGGTTCTACTAAATTAAAGGCGATAGGTTGTTTGCCACTTGAAAGGAAAAATTCAAAATTAAATGAATTTCAAAAGGAAATAAGTAACACAGAGTAAACTAGTTTTTTTTTACTGCTAATTAAGTATTATATTCAAAATAAATGGTTCAGAAACGTGCGAACAAATGGATTTTTAATACTCAAATTATGAAATTTTTGTGTACGAAGTATTTCAAGGACCTTCCTTCCTTCAATACAGGTTGAGAGTAATTTGCTATTAATTTTTAAATTATTTAGAAAAGAAACTAAGGAGCTTTTCAATATACAGTACGAATTTGGAATTTAATTTTTAATATTTAAGTGCAAGCTTGTTGCAATGTTGTTTCTCAATTGCTTCTTTTACTGCAACTAATCTTAAAAGAAAGTATTATTCATTTGTACAGTCTTAGTAGAAGAGAAGTAGCGACAGTTAAACTTACTTTCAATATATTTCAACCAGAAAAACATATAAATTTAACTTCTTAAAAGCAAGTTACGAACAGCATATATATACGTATATATTATAATCTGCCATCCATTGTACACATCATAGTATTAAGAATTTTATATATTTTATCGTGAAATATCTAGTACATTTATTGATGTTTTATGGGTAACTGTGACCACCGATGAATGCTCTTCAATCGTTTTCATTGAGCTTGGTGTCAAAAATGGTGAAAAAATGTTTTGGAAGTTGCTTTAGAGTCGTGGGCACGTAAACATTTCGGTCGTAGACCATGGATGTTCGAACAAGACTCGACACCGGTCTCGGTCTTATAAATCTCGTGTGAACCAAGAATAATTAAGAAAGCATGTTCCACATTTCATATCGTCCACACAATATTTTACCGAATTCACCAGATGCAAATCCGATGGACTATTCCATTTTGGGGAGCAAGTGAGGAGTAAAAATTATACCAGTATGGATACGTGAAAGAAAGCCATTGTTCAGGAATAGGCCAAAATACCAGAAGATCACACTCGTGAGGCATACGACTGATTTTTTAACCTTTGGAAAGTCATAGTCAAGGCAAAAGTATGTCACGTCGTGCTAGAGTGAATGAATTCTGAAATTTTGATTATTTCACAAGTTTTTGTAATTCGAATCAATAAAAAATCACTTCACACAAAAAAGATAACTTTGCTTGAATAGGTAACAACCCTGTAGATGCAACGAATGAAATCATAAGTACAGATTTTGTATCCAACTGCAAACCTATTTGCAGTACTACAAAGAATGTTTTGTAGAAGTTTGATTAATAATTGCACTGCACTATTTATAGTTTCATTCATTTCGACAACTAACAACAGATATATATTCTGAAAGTGTTTATTATTGCAACATTAAATGAATTTGGTGTGCTTTAATTATTGATTTATTGATCAATATTTATTATTGATATTCAAACAAAAACGAAAATGGATTAGGAATTCAAAGAAGCACTTATCATTATTTAATGTAATCTTCTTTTAAAATGAAAAAGTGCAATAACAATTTTTCTAAAATGAATTCACAAGAATGTCTTTTTTTTTTGTTTTGGTATCGAAACTGAAGGGAAAATCTTCTGCAGATACAAATTGCCCGTACCATTTGCGTGCCCGATTCATGCACGACTCAATTGAGTCATACATGCCTACGGACTAAAAAGTCCCCACATTCTCACCTTAAAATACTGGAAATCCCTGCAGTACGACCAGTTAAGGTATTCCTTCACAGGGCAGTTTAGAAGAGCACTTAGCGTGCATTCACTCCGATTGTGTACTAAGTATTTCGTCCGCTCTAACAGTATTTATTGTTCTAGAGATTATGCTCTTGTAAAGAATCCATTCTTCGATGCTTGCCAATATCTGCATTATCATAGTAGGACTGTCTTTACCAATTAGTGTCTCTAAATTTTATAAAGTGTCTACAAATCTTATAGACTCTCTAATTATATGGTCGGGATTCTCAATTTTGACAAATCTGGACAAAACTGCCAGTATAAACCGGTATAAGTATTCAAGGAAGCAACCATGTCCCATAAAGAACTGCTTTAATTAAAATCCCAAGTCTCCAGATCTTCGCTTAATCCAAACTTATATATTTGGAATTAACGAACGTGTCTCTCTTGATTTTTGGGAATAGTCTCACCGATGTTCATTAAGGTATTTGTCTCTTATTTCTAGATAAGAGTCTGACAGAGATTTCTCAGTTTCAGTCATTTGTTGACAAAAACGCAGGAAAAACTATCTCTGGCCAAGACCACTTCAAGGTCTATTGGCATACGTCCAGCCAATACTCCCGCAACATCATTCGATGCTGTACGTTAAGCACGATGCATAAGTTTGACAGTCTATGTGCACTTTTCATTACGCGTGAATACGAATTCATGGTTGTAGCATGCGCCCATACTGGAGCAGCATATAACATCACTGACTTGGAAACTAATGCTAAAAGAACTCTGCCGCTGTCCTTGGGGCCTCCTATGTTTGACATTAACCGGGATACAGTATTGCAAACAAGTGAGGCTTTGTCTCCCGATTGTTTTAGGTGTGTTTTTTGAAACTCAACCTTCTATCTAGGGTGCCACTGAGATATGTAAGTTGGGAGCTAGATTGTATGTCTACGCCAACCACTTTAATTGAGAGCTGTTCAATTTTTTTCCTACTGCTGATTAACAGCACCCGTTATACATACTCACGCCAGTCTTTGTTGCGTGTTTAATGCGTAAGTGGTATTCTGTTGTCTGGTTTCCTTTTCCAAATGAGTGCCCCATATGAGATATGATGATCGCCGAGTAGACCCATCGCAGTATTTTTGGTGTACATCCCCAACTTTTGCCTGCTATGGATCTACAGGTCATAAGAGCCCTAGTGATTTTCTTGGTGACCTTCTCAATGTGGTGTTTCCAGTTGAGTTTGTGGTCTTGATATATGCCTAAGAACTTAACCGTTTTCCTTATTTCTACCTATTTCTTCAGTCCATCAATAAT